TGTTGGTCTCAAGTTGGTCATTCAGAATTATATCTGTGTTTTTTAATTTGTTGATTTCCATAGATTCTAACAAAGATAGCTTAAGGCCTTTATTTTGAATGCGAAGAATTTTAAATTTGTCATTAAAAAAATGATTGTGATCTAGAAGGTGAAGTGCGTATGTCAAGAATAGAAAAACAGATTCGACATATGCACTTCACCTTCTAGATCTAGGCCAAAACTAAGCCCAAAAATCGAATACAGGAGCTTCAAGATTACTCTTCAAAGCAACCGTCGTTTGCCTGCAGGGGTTAGTATTACGAGAAAAATCTTATATTTTCTATATTAATTAAGCAAGCAGATGGGCTGATAGTGGTTAATTGTTTTGTATCTTTAGTTTTTCATTTTTTCTTAGGGGCCGACTTGGGAACCCGAAAGGACTTGACATGGAGAAAATGTGAGTAAATTTAACTATGAGTGGTAGGATCTGTTATCGTTATCACAGGGGGAGAATCGAGGCTTAAGTCAGTTAAATGGGCTCTTTTGTGGAGGGCAACAGTAGATAGTAGCAGGTGTAGGTTGAGGTTGATTTAAAGGTAGGGGTGTAATGTTAGATAAATTGTCGGAAGGAAAATTTGTGAGAGAACTTAAAAATATCCGGAGGGTTCAGTGGGGCTATTGTTGGTGGATTCATTAAGTACGTGGGCAAATCGTGGGTAGATTGTAGTAGGTTAAAGAGACACGCTATACACCAGAAGTAGGGAAGGATACTACAAATTATAACACAAAGGGTATTTTAAAAACCTGCTATATAGGAGTAATGGAAAATGGAAACAGAGATTATGCCTTCTCCTCTACTACTAGTAAACTGTTGTAAGATTTTCCAATTGGATTCTTGAGAAATAAATAATAGAATAAATCCTATTATTAATAGAGTAATCAAAATGAAATTCAAATATTTAAGCGAGAAATAAATCCGGAAAAGACCAATGTGATATATTAAAGGAAGAGAAAAATTGAATAGTGCAACAAGGACTATGGATTGCAATATGCAAAACGGAAAGGTAACGAATATTCTTGGAAAAACCTAAAAATCGGTACAGATAATTGCTGTCTTAACAAATGTACTTCCTTCTGTTTACCTGATGGTATAAGATAAATTTTCTAAAATTTTTATAAAAATTCCATTGAAACACAAAAACAAATTTTACGTGGCGAAAAATAATTAATAACAGAAAACAGTGGAACAGTAAACGGTACTGTACTAAGCTTTACACTGTGATTTTTGTATTTTCAAAAATTTAAATAATACTTTTAAAAATAAAGACAGTAATTTTATTTTTTATTTATATTTTAAACAAATCCAATAAATTAATCTGTTTGCTCATAACGCCACCTATTAAAGTATTAACAAAGCATACGTTGTTTACTGCTAACATACCTGTCAAATTCAGAAAAAATATTAAATTAATTATAAAATATAAAAAAATGATATTTAATAGTAAATTTAATTATCATGCAAACTAAATAATATGTTGAAAACTAATTATTGTATTTATATAAAATTATTTTAAAATGACAAATAAATAAAATTGAAACAGATGATTTAATGTTGTTATCACTCGTATGACATTTTTAACTTTAAATTTTGACAATTGTGACGTATAGAATCTTTTGTTGGTAATTACTTTTCATGCAGTTTTTATTTTAAACCAGTGAATTAATCGAGAGCAGTAAATTGATGTAAAGAACCGCTGTTTTGTGACGCTACTCATGACGCGCCATCTCATGGCGCTCGTCCCAGCATTTTACTGTAGAGAAAAAAGTAATACAACGTTAGTATAGAAGCTTCGTTTCAAAAAAAAAACAAAAAGGAAAGGGTAAATCTACATCACAGAATTCTCGTGAAATTACAGCGAACTACCATCTAAAAATTGATCAAGAATATAATAGAGATATTTTTCCTAAAACAGTTAAAAAATGTCCTAATGGGTTTCTGTCAGCCGACAGTCAAGAACATCACGAGCCTGACAATATAATGAAAGAAGAAAAGAAATAATTAATATTCATATAGAACAATATCTGAAATATGAGAACCAATATTCAAAACGAGGTACCTCAAAATTATACCTTAGTAACAATCTCAACATTAAAAAAATATTTGACGAATCTAAAAAACTAGTGGATGTAAAACTGGATCTTGCGATGTGATTAAATACGTTTTTAAGACTAAGACTCAATGTCCGATTTCACCAAAAATACCTAAATATTTAAGAATTACCTAAGCGGCCTTAGTTACTTCCTAACTCTAAAACGGATTTCACCATACGCTTAGAATTGCCTAAACCGCTTAAGCATTAGGTACCTAATGGTAGGATACGTTTTGCGATCTCCCTAAACATTTTAGGTATTACTTATAGTTAGAAGTGAGGTTATGTTTTAACAGTTTTGAGAGATGTATTTGTGAAGTTTGTCAATAATTTGCTTCTTACCTTAATTTGTGTATTGTTATTCTATAGTTAGTTATTTTTGTATTATTTTATATTAATTAAGTGTTGCTTTGGTAGTATTTGTAATATTGAAGCACTAAAGTTTATGGAAAATCTAGATCAATTCGATTCCTTATCTGATTCTGAAAAAGAAACAGTAAGAAGTCCTCGAGTTATCAAGAATTGACCAAATTATTTTAAAACTTTGGATGATGTGGTTTTTTTAGAAGGTTTCGAATGTCTAAACCAACAGTTTTATATGTGTTACAACAAATAGAAAATGATTTGAAGTTTATTACAGACAAGTATGTGCAAGTTTAAATATAAAATGTTAATATATTACATTTAATTTCTTTTTCAGAAACAGTTATTTATCACCATCAACCAGCTGTTACAAACATTGCGATTTTATGCAACTGAAAGGTTTCTCTTAGAATTAGGAGATTTTGGAGGTGTAAGTGCCAGTACTAGTTGCAGGGTAATTAAACGTGTAACAACTGCATTAGGGAGGTTAAAAGATAGATATATTAAATTTCCTGCTACAGATGAAGAAATGGAATCCACTAAATTAAAATTTTTTGAGGTAGCTAGGTTCAAAAATTTATAGTACTCGGCACTTTGGATTGTGCCCATATTAAGATTGAAAACCCAGGTAAAGCACTAAATAACTTTAATGGTTGTGATATTATTTACATCTAACAATTGTAGGTGGAGATGATACAGAGCTGTTTAGAAACAGAAAAGGCTACTTTTCTATAAATGTGCAGACAGAATGTTCACCAGACTTAAAAATAAATAACATTGTATGTCGCTGGCCTGGATTAACCCATGACTCTGTTATATGGCCATGGTACATTGTTAGGAGATAGATAGATTAAAGGTATATAAATTAGGGATGGGAAAAACCTACCGGTTTTAACCGAAAACCGGTTTTTTACTTCGAAATAACCGGTTTTATCGGTTGTTTTTTTGTCCCGGTTATAACCGGTTTTTTATTTTTAAAGTAAAAACCGGTTATTAGGTTTTTACAGTGATTAGGATTAGGTTAGGTATTATTTTGGATCCCACCCTATCACATAATTATTATTCTCACGCAATTATTCCAAACAAAACTAAAATTCAATTTTTATTTTATTTAATACAGAAGCAAAAGCTCACATTAGCCAAAAACAATTAAATTTTATTATAGTATTTCGTTGAAAAAGTATTTGTAATCATAATATTTTTACATAGGAAGTGATCTGGTATTTATTATGGTTATTTGACTCTGGACATTGAAAGTGGGTGAATGGATTTTCTGATTACCAAAATAATGACTATGAATATCGAATTACCGATTACGAATACGAATCTACAAGGATTTCAACGATTTAAAACCCATACCGGAAGTCGTAAATGAGTTAAAAGTAATACATGATAATTTTTTTTTGATGGTAGTAAAAATAAAAGATGAATTGCATTATCCGATTTATTTTTAAGCAGGTAAAATATTTATGTTGATATTATTTTCTTTAAATCCCATTTGAAAGAGTCTGCGGAATTTTTTTCTCACAAAAGACAAAAAATTGTGTTGCGAATGTAGTATCGCAAACTAAAGTGCATTGTAAATGTAACTTTTTAATCTATTTAATTAAAAAAACCAAAAACCGGTTTTTGGAAAAACCGGTTTTTTTGGCCGGTTATAACTGCCAGGGTAAACCGTAAGCAAAAAAACCGGTATAACCGAAAACCGGTGTTTTGTCAAAAACCGCCATCCCTAATATAAATCCTTACTACTGAATATATGTCTATGGATTTTTATTACAGAATTATCTTCTGACGCCATATTTGCATCCCAGGAATGAAGCACAAGTACGATATAATCGTAGCCACATTCGTACAAGAAATATTTTTGAAAGGCAATATGGGGTATTAAAACGGAGGTTTCCTGTACTTAGTGTAGGATTAAGATTAAAGTTAGAAAAAAACAAAGAAGAACAGAAACCCAGATGATATGGAAAACATTGGTCAGTTAATTGAAGCTGGACAATTGAATCAACCGCTTGATGATCAAAATATATATGGTTCAAAATATATATTGCAAGAGATGTTACTGTCCAAATTTTCTTTCAATAATATTGAATCCAATAGACTACTTTTTATAATATGTATTAATGTAATAGCACTTACATTCGAGTTAAATTATAGTTCTAACCTCGAAAGTTAATACAAAAAAAAAAATTATATATTTCTACCTAACAAACTAGTTTTTTTCTTTTAAAAACCCATTCATGATTTCATTAAAAGTGTATTATTAAAAAATATAAAATAAAAAACAATTTTCATGATATTTTTTATTTTAAAATTATTTAAATGACAATAGAGCTGTTGGCACTTCTTCATTATCTGAAATTAAAATTAAATTAAAAATAAATTATACTGTAAAATATAATATTGTAATTAACTCACTTTTAATTTTATTTAATATGCTCTCCCGAATTTCATTTTCTAAAGCTGCCTTTTTTACTTGATACTGATGCAACTCATTGGCACGTTTTTCTGCTGCCATTAGTCTATTTTGTTCATCATCCAGAAGTTTTGCTTTTTTTCTTTCATTTTCAATTTTTAGTTCAGCTAATATATCTTTATTACACTTTAATACTTTTGGACGTCTTCTACTGCGCAAAGCAGTCTGATTTAAAATGTTGAATGGCCCAGGAGTAATAGTAGCTTCCGATTCTTCCTCGATAATAACATCGATATCTGAAACCACCATTTCTTCTATTTCAATGTCTTCCATATCGAAAACCACAGTTTGTACTATTACACTGTCATTGACGTTAGAAATAGCATCACAATCGTTTACATTTTTGATACCTACAGTAGCACGTCCAATTAAATTTGCTATTAGATCTAGCAGGGGATCTTCTTTTATATCTATGGTTCCACCACCTGTTTTGGCTATATTTATTCTTAATTTCGCCTTATACACTTTACACTCTGTGTTCAGTCTGTTTTTTTTATGCCACATTTTTTTAAGACTTCTGATTGACCTAAAATATTTTGAGAGATATGAATGAAAACTGTTTATATTATATAATGGCATATTTATTGCCTCTTAATTGACCCGCTGCTATTAAATTTTGAAGTTAGGACCTCCCAAGCATAATCTTTGGCGTTATTTGTAGCACCATTTCTTTTTTTTTAATAAGCAGTACTGGATGTTGTATAATAAATTCAACTAGTTTGAACTTTTCATCGTACGTGAAATTTACAGCTCCTTTCTTATTCTCCATAACACTAGACGTATATAAATACAAATAAAAAAGTAAGGTTATAACTTCTTATTCTTCTATTTATTTATCAATAATAGTTTAAACGTACCCAAAGTAATGCCTAAGAAAGAATTTCCTACATAAGCACTCCTTTTAGTTGTGAAACGGTAGTGTTCCTAAGTATTGACTTAGGAAGTACTTTTCGAGAAGAATTACTTTCGAAGGCAACTGTTTAGGTATCGTTGGTGAAATCGGGCATGAGAATACAATTTTAAAAAACCACACGTACAACATTTGATATTTTTACTATAAAAATGAAGCAATGCAAAAGCAGTGACGAGAAAACTGCTATATGGGTAGAATATAATCGCTCACACAAAGAAGCCGCTTATTGGATGAGTTATAACACCAACACCCACATCCAACTTGGTCGTAGTACCAATATTATAAAAATTTTAGTTTTATTTATACATAATTTTAATATTTTTACTCAAAAGGTGTTACTCGAAAGACGTGTTTTAAGATCTTTGTATTTTTTTAACACCACGAAAAAAAGTTGCCAATGAAAGACATGAGCTACTTTTATTTTTATATTTTTAAACACCTTCCAGTTTTAAAGATAAATTAATCATAATGATTAAATGGGCGGGCGGACTTGGATCACCTATTAAGAGATATAATTTTTGGCGAACAAGATATTTATCAGTTACATTTTTCGCACGCACGATTATTTTCTATACCCTACTTTTTAAAACCATACCACATAATATATTAATCAAATCGTCGTGATACATTCTTGAATAGGAAATTGTATTTTTAATAAATTATTTTAATAATTATTAAAGAATATAAATTTTATTTACTGTTTAAAAAATTATAACAAAAAGTTTTATAACTAGAAAAAATCCAAAATATTGTTTCCGTTATGCTATGGTGATGACACTTGTGTAATAAGGTGGTATCGAATTCTCTAAACCCCAATCTACAACCAAGGAATTGCATTTTTAGATAATTTGGTGGAACAATAATAATAAAAAACTCAAACGTTTGTATACAGTTAACAAAAGTTAACCAATCACCAATGCTTACAGCCTATTCTTTAAGTAATAAATTAAAACCTACGATAACAGATAAAACGTTAACGATAACAAAAGACAGAAATCATAAAAACCTAAGAGATCATGATACTCGGATTTGTGAATCTGAATAATTGAGATGAGTTAAAATATGCACAAAAAAACATTGAAATGGAATCGTTATGATTAAAGGTATAGCAGGTGATCTGTAGGTCCAAAAATTGCAGTATTAAAGTGTTAGAATATCCAACATAAAAAATGGATGTTGTCATATGGTGTTTCTATTATAAAGTGACATTGTTGATAGTTTAATATAATGTCAAAAATGTATTAACTACTGTCAGTCAATTTTTGTATTGTTCTGTAGGCAAAAAGAAATAAAGTACATATTGCCTTGTCTTTGGATGTCTTCAAACTCCACCTAACTTAAATTATAACAGGTTTTCAGCCCAGTCCATGTGTGAACTGTGAACAGGTTAGGTTCGTACTTCATTCAGTTTTGTTTTGTTGTTATTATATCGGTGAATAAAATATGGCGACCAGCAATAACGATTATAAAATTCAAGTTGACAAACTCGAAGGTCCTGAAGACTGGGCAAAGTGGAAATGGCACGTTTCGATGTTATTACGTTCATATGCACTTGAAGACATTGTAAACGGTATGTGTAAGTATCCTGAGGTTAGTGAAGATTCAACTTCAGTGGAAATACAGAAGCATCAGCAATGGTTAAAAGACGATGCGAAAGCGGCAAGTTTGTTAGCAGGTACGCTAGGAAAAACTGTTGCCGAGCTCGTGTTGACGTGTAGGTACTCACGCTAATGAAATATGGGACAAATTGCGTGCGAGATTTGAACGTAGCAGTACGCAACGGTTAAACATATTAATTGAAGCCTCTTTTACAGTCCAACGTGATGAAAAAGAAGATATTAGTACACATGTTGCGAAGTTGCAGAAAACTGTTTGTAGATTTGAATGATGAACTGCAGAAGCACGATGAAAATGTTTTATCCGAAAGAATGTTAAATTTTCGGATCTTATCAACTTTGGGTAAGGACTTTGATAATTTTAAAAATTTGTGGGACACGATATCATCAAAGAATCAAACTTTGAATTTGCTGATTGTGAAATTGTGTACCATTGAATTACGTGACCAAAGTACTGTAGAATCTTTTGCGTTTGTTGCATGCAATAGCCCGACAGGAAAATACAATCAGAACCAAACTATGAAGTCAAAGAAAAATGTACATCGTGCAAAAGAAAATTTCCATGTCATAAATGCAAGAAATTAGGCCATTGGGCGAAAGAGTGTCCGTTGAAAAAAATCAGCTGAGAATGAAGGTAAGAATAAAAGTAATGATACTGCTTTTTTGTCTGTTGTTTTAAGTGCCTCATCTAACAATTGTATTGAAGCTGGAAAAATGGTATTGTGACAGTGGAGCCACAAATCATATCACTACAGATAAGCAGTATTTCTCATCTTATACAGAATTTTCTGAACCAGAAAGTATATCACTTGGTAAGAAGGATGTATGTATGTTAGCCCATGGACAAGGAACAGTGAAAATTCAAACGCATCTGAATAATAAATGAAAAGGTGCTGACTTGAAGAATGTTTTTTGTGTTCCTGAAGCAAGTGCTCATTTATTTTCTGTGACAGCTGCTGCACAAAGGGGTTTTATTGCAGTACTTGATGAAAAAGGTGTAAATATATATGATAAAAACACTTGTGAATCTATAATGACTGGGTATTTCTGTAATGGCCTGTATGCACTTGATATACATGTTATGAAACCGACAAATCCCGTTCAAGTCAACTTAGCAGAGTCAACAGATATGTTGCAAGTGTACCATGAAAGATTTGGTCATCAGCATAAGCAACATGTAAAGAAGGTATTGAAGAAAATGAATATAGACATTGATATGTACAAAGAAAGCTTTTGCGATGGATGTGCAATTGGAAAAATGCATAGATTGCCATTTAAATCTAGGATCAATCGACCACAAGTGACTGGTGAGCAGATCCATGCAGATGTGAATGGGCCCATGTCTATAGAATCACTGGGAAAAGCACGTTATTACGTATGTTTTAAAGATGACTTTAGTAAGTTTCGGAAAGTTTTCTTTATGAAACACAAAAGTGAGGTATGTACTTTCTTAGAACAATTTTTAAATGAAGCTAGTACAAATGGCCATGCAGTAAAGCAACTGAGATGCGATGGAGGGAGAGAGTTTGACAATAAAAAAGTATCTGAACTTCTTGCAAAGAGAGGTATAGAGCATTGTATCACTCCACCCTATACACCTCAGCAGAATGGTGTTGCTGAAAGGGAAAACCGCACCATTGTAGAGTGTGCACGTTCCATGTTAAACACATGAAAGTTGTCCAAACAATTATGGACAGAAGCATGTAACACTGCAGTGTACATTCTGAATAGCACAGGAAAGTCATCAATTGAAAGTAAAAGTCCCTAGGAACTGTGGTATGGAAAGCCAATTGGAAGTTTGAAACATTTAAGAATATTTGGCACTGAATGTTATGTTTACGTTAACAAGAATCTTCGCAGTAAATTTGATGACAAAGCGATACATGGTTATTTAGTTGGTTATGTGAACGACAGGGATGGTTTTAGGATATAGATTCCATCTGAAAGAAGAATCGTATCGAGCCACGACGTACGGTTTAAACCTGAGGTTATATGCAACTTGCGAATTGTTGAAGTTAAAGCCAAATCAGTAAACCAACATCAGTCGAAATGTTTTAATGTGAACGAAAACTCCGAAGAAGTGAAAAGTAGTATCGGTGAAATTGTGGAATCTGAGAAAGTGTAGAAGAAATTGCGAGTGAAAATCAAGAAGTAAATAGAAAGAAAGAAATAGTGATACTGTTCAAGAATCTAAGCGTTACTCTACACGTGTTAGAAATAAACCAAAAATTGTATAATGATGTTTTGTTAAGGTCTATTATTTAGCTTATCTACTTTTCATGTTGAGGGAGAGTGTTAGAATATCCAACATAAAAAGTGGATGTTGTCATATAGTGTTTCTATTATGAAGTGACATTGTTGATAGTTTAATGTAATGTCAAAAATGTATTAACTACTGTCAGTCAATTTTTGTATTGTTCTGTAGGCAAAAAGAAATAAAGTACATATTGCCTTGTCTTTGGATGTCTTCAAACTCCACCCAACTTAAATTATAACATAAAGAATTACGAGAACCAAAGGATAGAGCTTTTTTACCGGACCTTTACTAAAAATATAACAGCCAATTAAGATAATACAAGACAGTTTAAAATATGCCAAAATATGTCTAAAAGATCCAAGAAAAGCTAACTGTTTTACAATAAAAAGTTCTCTATATATATTTAATTACTGTTATCTGGAATTCCCTAGAATAGGCCGGTGACCCTTCCTGAACCTTCTCGAATTCCATGGAAGCCAGACAGATTTTTAGTGGAGGGGTCTCGTGGATATTACCTACTAAAAAATACTTGTTAGAAAAATATGTTTACAGCTTAGGGTATAAGTCATATTTATCGTAACAGTATGACAAAGACTTTATAATACTTTATTAAAAATAAATCATTCTATCTGCATGTGAAATTCGAATGTCTTTAAATTATTACTGAACTAGTTTTAAATTAATATTTTTTGTTTTCTTATATTTTAATTATTTATGG